ACACACATTTTCAACCATAGCTAGCGCTGCCAAGACCAAGAAAACAGTCTATGCTTTTGGGAGACCTAATGGGGTTTTTTATAATTCCATTATTTTTCTGCATGCTGTTCTGGCACACACAAAAAAAAAAAAAAAACATAGCACACCATATCGCATGATGAAGGAGGGCGTCGGCAGCATTGTGCTTTAAACTTTCATTTTGCTTGTCAAACTTGAGGGTAGCGCAAAACTTGAACACGATCTGCAAGAAAGCTGAAGAGAACAATGTGAAAGCACTCCCGATTGGGCTCGCCAGTGACGTTTCGTGAAGTGTGGTGGCTTCAGATTGTGTTTGTGATCAAATGTAAATATTCAAATTGAATTATGACGAAGAATTAAGACTTTCTTGCACCCCCTCGGCCATTTCTGACTTTTTGGGGATAACTTTACAAGTGTTAAAAGCTGTATATGTAGTATACCTTAAAAGGGGAAGTAAAAAAAAAAAAAAGGCTTTATTTTTGGATGCACCACAACTCATCTATTGCAACTGTGAAACATTAATCAAGCAGAAAAAAAATCCACCCATTTTTGTCCATCTCAAGGGCTGCCATTTTGCCTTGTGCCACTTGCTGTTGACCGAAAATGACATCAGAGCGCCTCAGCGCTCAGGTCACAAGGCTCACCAACATTCTCCGGGTTTGGTCATGTGACGTTCACAAGTTGAGCCCTGAGGAACCGTGAATGTGATTTTCAGTTGAGATGGATAAAAACGGGATTTTTCTGCTTAAATTCATATTCCACAAAGGTAATAAAGGATACCGTATTTCGACATTTTTGACTTGACTTCCCCTTTTAGTGTCACCGACTGTAATCAATGGGGTGATCTGAAAACGGCTGCAACATTCTATCGATGGCGCCCCCTGGAACTCTTGGAAAAAAATAGACATGTATTTGATTTAAAAAGAAAAAAAGTGATTTCAACAGGATTGTTTGGCCTCCGAAGAGCCACTCACTTTACACAGTGAACCTGTCCAAAAAAAAAAAAAAAAAAAAAAAAAAAAAAAAGGACACAATAAATGCCTCCTAACCTTGAGAGCTCATTAATCACTCTTAAGATTAAAGGAAGAAATGAAGCGTGAAGGGGAAAGTGCCGCCGTGACTAAATGATGCTTGCTTGTTCTGTGAAATGGCAAATTTGAGTGGCAAACTATCAAATGGAAAAAAAAATATATCAAAAGCCACAGGCGGAGAAGAATGTGTCCTTGCACCCACTTTTTCATGTGGAATCATCAAAATTATCTTTTTTTTGTGTGTGCTTTTGTGATAAACATCTAATTTTATTGCTATTGGTGAAATTGGTGTTGTTTTTTTTTTTCTAACTTTCTAAGGGGTGCTAAAAAGGGAGTTTTTGGGGGGCTTGTGTTGGGGACCTCAATAAAACATTTTTCATTCGGAATATAACTGATGAAGGAAAACTGTCTTTCCAGACAGTAATCTCTATTTGGACAGAGGGAATTATGCGTGAAAAGAATGCTATCATATAACCGTATTTACCATTTTCCAATGTCTGGCTGCTAATTCCCCAGAGATATGCCACTCTGTTGGGCTCATAAATGTGTAAATCTTTTTATTTAATTATTCTTTTTTTTTTTTTTTTACATTGTCTCTCTCTGCGCGTCGTCAGATGCTCGCGCTTGTTTTGCTGCGATGAGCCAGGCACGCTCGGGTCTGAGTCTCACATTTCCTGAGTCACCGCCAACTGCGCGCGGAGATTAAATATAACATTCGGCCCCGTAATGCTGTTGATGTCCCCTAGAGCATAATGACAACATGTAAACATTGCACCGCCGCCACACAGAGAGTCCCTTGGCTTCTACGGATTATTTATTGAGGGTGACTTTTTCGCTCATAATGCGACGACTTATTTTGGGCAACAAAAAAACAACAAAAAAAATGTACGTGTTGGTGGCAGTAACTCACTCTGGTAAGATATAGTTGGAGAACCAGAGCGTTGCAAGGTCAATTCCAATGACAGATGGACAATCTGGTAATTGGACTGACATGGTCCTCCGTGTACAGACAAATTCACGTTTGGGTTCGATAAAATACAGTAAAAACTGAATTTAATAGGACCCGGTGGAGGCAAGACCATCCATACATCATGGCCGACTGGCTTACTTCACTCACTGTGGCAGTAATTAGCAATGCCAAGTGGCCGTCAGAGGCATCAAACTTTTTTTCCTTTTTTTTTTTCAGAACAACGGTTTCAGCTGCCGCATCGAACCCACTTTTGACCTCGGTGCAAACAGACTGTAACTCCACCAAAAATGGCTTTTCTCGCTGCCACCCTGGCGCCGTTAAAAATTGGTATTTTTAAAACGGCCAATGCGAAAATCACACTTGAATACAGAATGAAGGATACTGTTATTCTTCAAGAGGACCTCTTCCAGTTTGGGCAGGCAGTAGACTCCTTCTAAATTTTCTATGCAGTTGTTTTCAGCCTCCAACACCTTCAAGCATCGAGAAGCGGAAAAGAAGAAACATGAGCAAACGGAAGAAGCAAACTCCCGACAGGACAAACATTGCAGTTGCCTCTTTTTTTTTTGTTTTTGTTTTCACCTTCAGGCACTGTAACATGGAGAAGTGAAAGGAAATGTGGCGCAGCTGATTAGAGGACAGATTGATGTGAGTGATGAGGAGCAGCTGGTCCAAATGGCACAAGGTGGTCAGGTTCTGTTGGGTGAGGAAGGAAGGAAGCCAAAAATGACTCCGCGAACGTCCCCCGGCGACAGAGGGGTTAGGGAAACTGATATTGTGCGCAAACCTTGTTGGAGACGCTGAAGACGCGCACTTCAGCATACTCCATTTTCAAAATGGTATTTTCGATCATAAATTTGCTGCACAGGTCGCTGTAATAGGCAGAGCGCATGGAGTCCACTTCCTGAGGGAGAGGAGGTAATGAGCGTGCTGCGCGTGAATACATCTCCGGTTAATGGAATGGACACCAAATTGCTGTTGGTGCTGCTGCTTACTTTGAGAGTTTGGAAATGAGCGAGCGTCTCCTTTTCGTAGCCAAGGGGGTCTAGCGCCCTCATCAGCAGGATAATGGTGAGCAAACACCCTGCGGAGAAAAGCAAAAAATGTGAGAGTGGGGCCCTTCTCAAACGCTGGGTTTAAAGAGCAACAGCATATGGCAAAAATGTTTACGAGCGCCGATAACTGTGATCCCAAAAGATGATAGCATTTCAAACTCATATTGCAACATTACCCTTGAAAATAAATGGCGTAGAATTAATGTGATTTTCGGGTACAGGATGGTTTTAAAAAAAAAAACCACACAATTACTGCTTTCCTGTGGTTTTCATTAAATTTATGTTTGTGTCAGTGATGCTTTTTTTTAATTTTTTTTTTTATACATACACTGCTAACCAAAGGTTATGCATATTGTGCTTACGAGTTAAATTTCAGGATGAGTGTAAAATGCGTACTACCTTTACTTAATTTTGACCTCAGCTAAACTTGTAAATGTCTTTATGTATTCATTCATTCATTCATTTTCCGATCCGCTTTATCCTCACAAGGGGAGCGGGGGGGTGCTGGAGCCCATCTCAGCTGTCTTCGGGCAGTAGGCGGGGGACACCGGAACCGGTTGCCAGCCAATCGCCAAGGCACACATAGACAAACAACCATCCGCGCTCAAACTCACACCTAGCGACAATTTTAGAGTGTTCAATCAGCCTGCCATGCATGTTTTTGGAATGTGGGAGGAAACCGGAGTACCCGGAGAAAACCCACGCAGGAACATGCAAACTCCACACAGGGAGGCCAGAGCTGGAATTGAACCCGGTACCTCTGCACTGCGAGGTCGATGCGCTAACCACTGGACCACCGGGCCGCCCGTCTTTTTATATTTTTCAGCCCAATTTGTTTTGGAGCTAAACGGCAAAATCCACAAGTGTTTAATCCTTAAGTCGATATTTTCAATGTCATCTTAAATTATGAAAGAACCATCACCAAAAAATGGACAACCGAAATGATGATGCAGGCCACTTTGATGCCTTTTCATGGGTCTTCCAGTCCCCTCTGCACTTCCGTTTCCGTGACTCCCAAAGTGTACAGTACATCGCAAATTGCTTGATATTTTTTGTTTGCACAGCTCACCATTAATAGCTGATGAGGTGTTACCTTGCGCCACTGCCAATAGCCTGACCATTTTCTGCATCCTCTTGAGAAGTTTACCCTAGAAGGATAATCGCCCACTTCTCAGACCTCAACTGCAATTTTTCCTGTCGCTTTGCTGTTCGCTGTCGGGGACCGATGCGAGCTACTCCTCCGCTAACATTACACCTTAGAAGGAGCAGGCGCTTACAGCATTTGTCAACGGATAGTTTTTGGGGTGTTCTACAGAATGAATCATGAGTAGGTGACTACGCAAGGGTTTATCAGTAAAAAATATGCATCATTCCATCGTTTGTTAACATAGCCCTCAAATCAATAAATTGAAGGAAAGCTGTAAAAAGTAAAGTTTAAAGGACACCCATCTGTTTTTTTTTTTTTTTTTCGAACAGTTCCCAAGTGTCTTAATAAGGGGCCTGTCATGGTAATTACTTGATCGACGTATTCTTCGATGAATAAAATGAACACAATAGTTGTTTTTTCCCCCCCAGACTCATTGACATGTGTGTTTACATATGTCATATGTTAACATACATGCAGAGAGAAAGAAGAAATTAGCGTACTTCAACCTACTTTTTTTGATGGCTGTATAAAGTTATATAAAGTTGAGTGGCATAAGTGGAATTAATTTCAAAACCCGAATGAAATCTTATTCACGTTAGGAGCTCCGCTGTACTTCAAGTGTTTAAAAAAAAAAAAAAGATGTTAGCCTGAAGCCCAGATTGTCACTCATGGAGGCAGCATTGTCGAAATAAGTCTCTCAATTTATCAAGATGAAGCCCATTTAATTTGATTTACCTTGGAAATGTAGTTACTCAAATTTTTTGGCACACCCTGTGAGGCTCATAGCAGCTGCTATCTATAATATAACCTCAGCCAAGGTTCTAATCCAAAACACACACACACACACACACACACACAATTCATTTAAGGCAACAACTGCCAGTTTTGAAATGAACCAAAAGCCAGTTATGGTTGGCCGGAGACCAGTGGCGAGACTTGCTGCTCTCTTGCCCTCTTCCTAGGGTGGCGGTGCATGCCAAATGTGTCTGGGACTGAGCCAGCGCATCTGCAACAAAACTGCGATCTGATATTTGAAGCCAAATGTGGAACTGCGGCACAATGACTTTGCTATAGCAACAAATTCATTTGCCGGAGAGCCGCGCTCGTCTCTCTGAAGTGGTGGAGTTAATTCACTCAAGTTCGTCTCGATATGCGGTCTGCGTTTCTCGACTGTCATCATAGCAGAAGGATGATTTTATATTCATGTCAAAGGATCAATTAATTGAGGATGCTTGGTGAGAAACATTTCCCATCCGGAATAGAAAACTTGTCGGATGACAATCTCAACATCTTGTACTTTAATTACACTACAGGGACAAAATTATTGACACAGAACCTTGTAATTATCAATCAAGCAGCGCTCGTCCAAAAGTCCAAAATAAAAGTCAATGCAGAATGTGGGGCGGTCGCCATAAACGTGATGCATTTCCACTCATCGAGGCAGAACTTTATCACCAAGCCGGCGAATTACCCTTAAAAATTACAACAGTGGGTGCTCGGTTTACAGTGGTTCCTATGGCACCGTCGTCGTGACTAACCACGCTGAAACAGTCGTCGAGTCATAATTACAGTCGACTGGTGCAATTCACGGGTGACAGGGGATAATTCACACCCACTGAAATGCATCGGGGGAGAAAAAGAAAGCTTTTTTTTTTTTGGTTGTTTTTAAACCTAATAAGTTCTTCAATAAAATTCACTATGCTTTCCATGAACGATGGGAGATTTCTCTCTCTCTCTCTCTCTCTCTCTCTCTCTCTCTCTCTCTCTCTCTCTCTCTCTCTCACACACACACACACACACACCTCGGGACAATTTTAATTTAACTAACCTCGGATGCATGTTTTTGGAATCCCAGAGGAACTGGAGGAAATCCACGCAGACATGAGGAGAACATGCAAACGCCACACGGGAAGAAGGCCGGAGTCGGAATCGAACCCTGGACCTCTGCACTGTGAGGCGGACGTGCTAACCAGTCGTCGGACGTGCTAACCAGTTGTCCACCGTGTCGTCAGTTTGGTTAACATGTTACTTCTAATTCCAATTCCGTCCTGCGGGGCTATTATCAATGTGTCGGAATACGTTTCTCCATACAGTGAGAGTTCCTCTGATTGAAAACCGCAACCTTCCCACAAGGTCCTTCCAGAAACATATTATTTCTTAATCTGTCTCAACAGCACCGGCAGGCGAGACAGTACCAAGCAGCAAATAAGACTTCTTGCTCTGTGAAACACACACACACACACACACACACACACACACACACACACACACACACACAGACCAAAGGAAATGGCATAAAAAAGCACTTACACTTATTGAGCGGCTCCAGTTCTAGCAGCTGGTTACATGATTGTAGCTCAGACTGCAACACGGAACTCTTTTCCACAGAGAGTTCACTCCTGTGGAAAACAAACAAACAAAAACTAAGATCACACTTTCATACAATAAAAGGAGTTCCTTAAGGGGGGAAAAAAAAAAAGCACACTTTCATCATCCACCAAATCATTACCTGAAGAGCTCCTGATCGGTGGCGGAATCACGACACCAACTCTCATTTCGACCTGGGAAAGGGAACGTCGTTTTGAAAGTTGCACAAACTTACACTTTGAGACGATGACGCGGCTAGTACGGGCGGGCCCGGTTAGATTCGTTTTCTATGGTGGCGACGTGGCTCAAATCTTTCAGAGCGCAAAGTAGTCGATCACAAATGAATTCATTACAGTTAAATGTGTATGGAATTTTTTTTTTTTTAATTAAATGAAAACAGTGTTTACTGACGTAACTTGTCTCCTTCTGGCATGCAACCACACAGTAAATTAGCTTCCTGCGCGCATTCATAACATCAAAATGTTTTAACCCACGACTGCCATAAACTGAGGACCAGTTTATTGCACCAGTTTACGGCAGTATTGATTATGACCAGGGCCCTATTGACTTTTTGAGGGCGTTGCTGATTCCGATATTTGGCAGGATTAAATTCCGACAACCAATAATCGGCTGATTAAATGAGAATGCACATAATGAATGAAATAACTTATATTTTGGTCTCCTAACACCACAACAATAAATATCAAGTCAAGTATCAAGTATCAACTACAACTTTATTGTCAAATGTGCAACATACAGCGCAGATGAAATTTCTTCCCTCTCACAAACTACAACAAGAGGAGCCGCTGCGGGTGCCTGCGCCGCCATCAAAAGAAATATCAATATAAAAAATAAATAAATAAATATGAATGAAGAATGAAGAAAATGTGCCTGCTTTACAGTGCCACTTCTTTGTCCTTGAGTATTTGATTAACTTCACAATAAAGAAAAATATATATTTTTTTTATTGGCCAAGTTCTGACGATTTTAAAATGTATTTAATCATGCCCTAATTATCATCATTAAATTATTATTACGAGTACACATACTGTATGTCGGTACCATCATAAACAGAGAATCCCTTGCATGCCCAACATTCTGTGGCCAAAATGAGTAATGGGAATTAAAATGCCAGAATGTCAGAAAGCTTCTTTTTTTTTTTTTTTTTTAAATAAAGGTCCAAAGGACAGCGTAAAGAACACAACTGCGTGTTTCTGTTGCATGAGAGTCGAGGTGAGTACAGCTCCCGACACTAATGAACCTTTTCTGGCTTCCAGTGCTCTTCTTTTCCATCACACGTTCAACTGCACCAACTGTACGTGCCGAAAGGAGCCTTCCTTTCGGCTAACTATGTGATACTGACTCTCCACACCGGTCCATTTTAATCATTTAGCCGCGACGAGATGGATTAACAGAATCAGTGCCTCACCTGTGTACAGGGCGCAATCTCGCCGAGTGTGTTTTTCGGGCCAGTGCACCGTCAGATTGTGTTCATTAGCGATGTTGTTGATGGACCCCGGAGGAAGATCGCATATCTGAGTCATGGTCAAGAAAGTTTAACAAAAGGGGTGTGTGGGGGGAGAAAAAAAAACTAAGTGGGGTTCAAAAAGTGAGAAGAATACCTGAAACCAATTCATTATGGGAGTGCAAAAGTGATCTGGCCCTTTTTGCGTGAGTCTGCACACTAACTACGGCTTGTTAGCAGCGGCTGCGAGAGCGACTAGCTTTAAGGGCCTTTTGTTTTTTTTAATCTGAAGCCTCTAACGGGAGGCACACTAACCGCTGATAAATCAGCATCCTCAATCACACCGCCCCTCCAAGGACATTAAGATTGTCACCACTGACTATTTGCTTAGTAGTAGGCGTAAAAAGATACTTTTCACAGAATGGATCCAATTCATTCTGGGCGATTCAAGGGACATTCTTTTTAAGGAATAGACACACCCAAAACGACTTTTCTGCCAGGACAAGATGGAAGAACTTTCGGTCCCATTGCTGGTGCTTTTATTTTGATGGGCGCAGTTGTAAGTGGTACAAGCGAAAACTTACAGTATGTTTTAGGTGTTGCCAGTGTAGTGAGTCTATTGCTATATTCACCAACTTCTTTGACCCCTGTTGCACAACTGAGGAGTGTTCCTAATGTAAGTAACATTCTTATTTCCTGCATGGGAGAGGAAGAAAGAGGCCCGTGTCGGATTTAGCAAAGCAGCCCCAGAAAAAAACTGAGCCTACTGATTTTGTTGAGTAAAGTGTTTTTTTTTTTCTTTGTGCGCACGCCCGCTGCAAAATTGTTGGCACCCTTTCGTTAAAGGAAAAACCTACAATTTTCACAAAAACATTCATCCGGAAGCATTTTGGCTTTTTCCAAGATGCATTTTAGCCAATTTCAGTCTCGCCAGTGATGAATGTGGGTTTCAAATCAAAGACTGATGAAACTGCTGGATCGGTGACTAACCGACAGTGGTTGATGTCACCCATATGGTATGGCTGGCACATTTGAAACCCCGGCTGTCCAGGTAGTAATTCAGCACTTACTGAGACATCAGTCAGGATGAATGGTACGGAAAACAGACAAATGTAATATTGGTCAGCCATTTCCTAGGCTACTTCTAGCAGAAGCCCTGCAGGCCAGTCAGACGACTTAATGGAATTGCATCTCGCAAAAGCACATCCCTGCCAAAAGGCATCAGTTGTCTGCCTTTTCTAAATAAACACTGTAGGGTCTCGGTCAGCATTTCCTAGGGGAAAAAAAAAAAGAAAAACCTTTGAAGGAAAGTTCTTTTGTGATAGCGGTGAAAGGAACAACCTCCGTACATGACACAGGCAACCTTATCAGCATGAATTAATTTCGGCCCTACTAGCTAGCTGATTTAACGGGTGGCTGCGGAAAGTGAAACGAGAAGGGAGCAAAGCTGACTGCAGCATCCATCCGATCATTAAGGTACACTGTGAGCTGGAGCCTATCTCAGCTGACTGAGTGAGCGGCTGGGTACACCTTGTCAACCGCACGCACATTGACAAGAATTCACACTTACAACTTTAGACAATTCAATCTTTCAATGGCACAGACCTAGACACACCAAAAAGACAAAACAGGTTTAAATGACCATCCCATTATTTAAAAACAGAACATTATTTCAAATTCACAGCGCACAAACATAAATCAATTACGATTCAATTACTGGGTTGGTCACGTGAGAGAGTAGACAAAAATGTTGATCTTTGATTTCCAAAGTATAGGAATTTGGTTTATTTTGATTCAACGCAAAGATAATCAGTCCATTTTCATGGAGGACTACATAAATCGGATTATATTTACTGTTAAGAAGCTGAAATTCCGATCATTTGGACAATTTTAAATTAAAAAAGATACCCAAATGATTCATCGGTTTTTAAAAATTAACACTGGTCAATGGCTATTTTTAATTTTTGGCTATGTGTGTCCCTCAATGTATTTTTGACACTGATTTAAAATAAAAAATTATGAACTTTTTCCGGCACATGAAGTTTTTCAGATTTTTTTTGTTTGTTTTTACGTTTGACCTTGACAAGCTTGCGCAATAACGATTTGACATATGATGTTCTTCATAACAATGACATTTCAGAAAATAATTAACGATTTGCCATGCGATGTTCTTCATAACAATGACATTTCAGAAAATAATTCCACCTGTTGCTGAAACTAAGCCTTAATTCACAAATGTTACTAAATAAATGACTCTATTACATATTATATCATTGTTAGATTATTATTATTAGTACAAAAATCTGATGCGTGAGAACAACAGCAAATTCATAATCAGCACAAAAAAATTAATCTCGAAAATTTTGCTTGCATCTCTGATATGCATATAATTTAATAATGGATGGAGTTGTCAATGAATCAATTAATCGTTGCACCTCAAGTGGATTTTCTCCAGCTACTCCGACTTCCTCCCACACTCCAAAAACATGCATTTTCATTAACCACTCCAGGCGGAACGCCGCAATTCGCCCAAAGTCAACTGAGACAGACTCCAGCTCACCTGCAACCTTAATGAGGACCAGCACTATCGAAAAGAGATGGACATATGTTGATTGCGTAGTTTGTTTTTTTTTTTTTTTTTTTTTAATTCAATGAAGTTTAAACACAAAAGGATACCCAGACGGGACTATGTTTAAATCGTGGGTGGATGCTCCTCCAGTCCACTTGCAGCGGCTGACCATCCAGCACAAGCAGCAGCCCTCCGGACTGCGCCTGCATGAGAAAATTAAAATAAAATAAATAAATAAAACTATGAAATTTATAACAAAAAAAAAAAAAAAAAAAGGGGGGGGGGGGGAAAACCCACCATGAAAGGGGCGGGGGGGGGGGCGGAATAACTCACCTGGACCGGCCTCGAAAAGGCAACAGCCACCCTCTCTTCATCCCGGCTGATGAAAACACAACTAATCATCTCTTCACGCTCGGCTGTCACGCAATAAGAGAGACGCGTGCATTAAGTTGTGACCATCGCTGTGTTGAAATGCAGTACTGTGCTAAACACACACACATTCACACACACACACGAACACACTCATACTAAAACACATTCAAAATGAAACCTACACGACCTTGAAAACTTTTTAAACACATAGGCACTTAACACACACTTGAACACACCTCTGCCAAGCAGCCAACGATAATAAAACCAAGCACTCTGGTCGTTAGGGTCGGTGAAGAAAGCGTTCTGCACCAGCTCATATTCTGGAAAGGAAAAAAAAAAAAAACAAAGCAACATGGTGTCAAATTGATCAGTTTCCCATTAAATCAACTTCAATTCAATTCATTCGGTCAGCGTAAGGCAGCATGACCTTGGCTTACCCTGAAGGAGCGCTTCATTTTTCTTGTGTAAATTGTTACTTTGTATAATGTATTGTTCTTTTTTCCTCTGGAGGAATGATAATAAAACACTTTGATTGCACTAGTGTGGTCTTGTTTTATGTTCTTGTTTGATGTTGCGCCAGATCCTAGTCTGGAGCATCACAGCGAATTAAAAAAAAAAAAAAAAGTGGAGGTGGGGTAAAAAATAGGTATAGGGACTGTGGTTGATGGAACTACCACTACAACTAATAAATTGGTTATCTGTATGTATAGTAGAGCTTTTCTACATATGCAAAGATGCAAATAAAGTATTTACAACAAAAAAATAGGAACCCGCCGATGCCAAAACTACAGCTTTTAACAGATCTCACGAATGATCCTAAGGTGAGAATTTTAAAAATGTCATCTTACAAGACTGCTCGTGTATTCGTTCTGAATGTGGAGATGGCATTCAGCTGCTGCCGATTCTTTCATTTCAACATTTTTTAATAGATTAGAGTTTATTTAGTAGATTAGAGTACATCTGTGCTGTATGTTACGCATACGTACAGCACATTTGACAATAAAGTTCTATTTAATTCAATTCAATTCAATTGAAGAATTTCAAAGTGGCCCCTGCGTCCTGCAACTTTTCAGGATGCTGCTCCTGAAGGAAAAAGTTTAGACACTGCTGGTTTAAACTATTAATAGAGTCAATTATTTGCATGGGGATGGCGAGTCAATTAATTCGGGCTTTTTGCTATTTGCCCTGCTTCAGTGGTGCGAATAGTCAGGAATTACTGTGGGCATTACGGTCTCAGTCACTTTCGTTCATGACATGCACCGTTTGTCCCGCATGGAATAACTACAGTGCTTACTCATTTAGAACTGTGTAGGGTGGGAAAAAATATTAGTCAGCAAAAATCTGAGCCTGCAGGAGTGGAAGAGTCAAAGCATGACACGTCCCAACATTTTAGACTCAGACTGCCCCCTGTGGGTGGGTGCTGCGCAATCCCGTCTGCAGCAGGTTTACCTTTGAGCAGCTGCTCTTCACAGACGCGATGGGAGTGGGTCTGCGGCGAGGGAGGCGAGGAGCCCGACGGGGGGGCGGATTCGGGGGACTGCGGGTGGAGGAGGGGCAACAGGGTACTGCGGTAATGCCAGCTGGAGTAGTTGGAAAAGTTGGAGCCGATGAGACGATCCGTGAACTCCAACTCCTTTCCCACGGGGACAGCGGATTTCTTCACGACGATCCGCCGGTAATCCCAGCAGTGAACTGGCGCAGACAGTGAGACGTGGGTGTAACAATTCCAGATAAGCGCAGAGATTTTCCCTATTAAATTTGGAGGTTGCCGGTAGCCACGTTGTCCTATTTTCCGGCAGCCTTTGTCTCTAAAACCACTGAAATCATGAAAATTCAGCGATAAGACATCAGACTCAGCAAGGGCAAGCAACGTTAATCCTTATGATATCCGTGTTTGTTTTACTAGTAGTTGAATGTGACTTATCCATTTTTTTTTCACAAACTTGGGCATAAGAGAGGACTGACATGGATAGACTTCACTTAGAAAAACATTCTGTCAATCACGCATGCCATTTGCTTCCGGAAAGTAAAACAGCCAGATGAGGAGTGTAAATGATCAGAATGATACCGCCTATCACTCAATTTGAGCCATGAAAAATCGCGTAAGCCTGAAAGGATCGTCTCTTCAAATGGCATCACTCACAGTTGCGGTCATCCAAACTGAGGCAGCGGTCGCACAGGCTCAATTCTCGGGCCCAGTCCATTTGAGGTGCCCTTTCCGAGACCCAGCTTCGATGATGCCAGCTGCCGTATGACTTTGGGTTGACTTTTAGGCAAGACTCCAGAAAAGACAGCTCGTTCTGGTACATCTTTTGTACTTCACTCTCGTCTCTGAAAGCATAAGTCAACTGAAACTGTTAAATAACCTCTCGGGGCTTACAATGAACAAACTATAACATGGTGGACAAGCTCACTTGACGGTTTCCTGGTGCATGAGGATCTCTCTCCTGTAATTCCAAAGCGTTGCAAAGTCAGGGTTTGATGATAGCAGCTGCTGGGTCAAGTGGAGGGCTTCTTCGTCGCAAACACCGTCTTTCCTCTGTCATAACATTTTAGAATTACGGTGGATCCCTGTTTATTGCAAGGGATGAATTCCAGATCCACACTTAATTGGTGACGATCACAACATAGAAAGACTCTAGCATGTTTTCGATGTAATTTTTACACTACTAAAGGCTTCAACACATTTAAACAAATGCGGGCAAAAAGTGTCAATTGCTGCATTGATAAGTGATTTGCTGTAAATATCCTGAGATGGCAGTAGTGCATAACATTTGTCTGTATTACACTCTCCCGGTGGCTAAGGCGTGCACACCAGAAGGAGCAGCATTGAATTAGCCCGATGGTCATGGTTTGAATGTCAACTCCCTCTTGAGGGACTATATTGAGTGAAATAATTTTTTAAAATTAAATTACGATTTTTAATTAAAAATCTAATTCAAAATTAAAGTACAATACCACAGGGATTTATTTTTTTCTTATTAGGTAGATATCTTCCACACATACACAAAAAAAAAAAAAAAGCGATAACAAAAAGTGGGGCCAAGTTATTTGAACTGCAATAATAATTCAGGTCATTTATTTTGTCTTTAAAGCACCTTGGAAAAACAGGCATCTCGTGCTGCTGTGTATATCTTCAATTTCTTTTCCCGTTCCTTTCTTTTCTCCTCCTCCTGCTGGGCGGTGGACTTTACCTTCACTCGACCGTGCTGGGAACAATCAAAAGAATACGAAAGGGTAAGTCACACTCATTCATTTATTGGGACTTATTTAAAAAAAAAGAAAAGAAAATTGTCTCCATACGCAATATGCAAATATGACAGCGTGACCAAAATAAGGCGTAAGCAATGGCAAACTGATGCATTACTTACCATCTTTTACTGTTTAGGAAGGAGACTTTCCTCAATATCTGTGTGTCATGCCATATAAACAGAGACATTAAAGATCAAACATGTGTGATGTATAGAACACACAAACATTAAGGTGACATTGGAACAGAATTACAAGTCGAGCTGCGCATCTGTGTGGTTGCGACACATTTGACAAAATGAATGGAAACTAATTAGCTCAGTTCCCAGTTAATACCAGGTAGCTTTTTCACACAAATAACAGCGCACTGCAACTGAAAATAGAACGCTGTTTGCATACGGATGTGGATACATACATATATGAGATCATACATTACGTAACCCAGACAAACACGCACCTTAACTCTTGTCGCCTTGGGAATATTTTTAAAAAGAAATTTGGACCATGACAGTCATCGACGTTGTATTGGTAAACTTCCGTCTCATTAAAATTACGTCACAATCGCTCCTTTCGTAGTGTTTTGCTGCTCTCTAGCGGAGGGAACACACAATATGCGTTGCACTGTAAATTAATTAAATCATTCAGTCTTTTATTCTCAAAGTATGCGACACTTAATCTGGTTCCGCCATTATTCGTAATCCATTTTTTGTGATCGCATTTTCGTTTGCGCTCCACTCACAAAAATGTGCTCTGGGGTTTCCGCCTCTATATTTAGTTATGACGTACAGTGGAATCCCCTAATTTTCGATTTGATGATTTGCAAGTGGTACTTCGTTGCTTCTTCAGGCACGGCAACTCTTCTTTTACAACTACGAAACAATGTTATTAAAAGGTGCGTTGCTTCTTTGTATCGACATTTCATGTTATGATGAGCACGGGTGGGGTGGTCATCGGGAATTTCTGGAAACTGTTAATTTTACGTGAATTAATTTTGATATTAATTTTATATTTTCGGGCCGGTTCTGGGCATCACGATTTTGTGGCGTCTCTTCTACTTTAGGATAGTGAGGCTTCAAGATCTCATCTTCGTCTTGAAAAACTAATCACTGTCTATTGCTTAAAAAGTCAAACAAGCAGTCCTTTTTGCCCTCTTTTTTTGTCACTTACCTATACCATCTTCGGAAACTTGAGTCTTCATCCAAGCAAGACACTGAAGACAAATTGTATGATTCCAACATTATGGTTTGAGGTTATGTTTTCACTTTGTGTTAAGTGAAATGCCCAACTGCCCCAATACTTTTCCATCCATCCATCCATCCATCCATCCATCCATCCATCCATCCATCCATCCATCCATCCATCCATCCATTTTCCGATCCGTTTATCCTCACAAGGGTCACGGGGGGTGCTGGAGCCTATCCCGGCCGTCTTCGGGCAGTAGGGACTTTTCAATATCCAAAATTATGTTTCAAGGCAAGTCGCGTGCGTGTGAAGTGCACATTTTTGGGAGGAACGTGTATTGTACTCCATTATTTACTGAATTACAGCTATGTAAAATAAAAATAAAAAACAGGGCTTTGGCGTGATCTGGTGGCATCTTGGTGCCAATCATCAATGATGCACTAAGGAGAAGAGCTTCATTTATTCAGGCCATAGAATATAGAAAAAATGCTTTGTGTCGGGGGGGGGGGGGGGGGGGGAAGACATTTTTGTACATATAAAGATGAAACATGAAATAAACACAATTCAATTTAAATATGAATTTATCAAACCTGTTCATTTCCCAAATGATACAGCCTCCTGTCAGTAACACTTCTAACTTTTGAACTCAGTTGTAAAACATTCGTTTTTTTTTTTTTTTATTCATTATATGCACATGTATTCATCAATATCAAAAGTGATGAAGGACTGCTTAACAGAAAATTAGTCCAAAATAAACAAACAAAACATCCAACCATCCATTTTCTGATCCGCTTTATCCTCACAAGGGTCGCGGGCGAACTGGAGCCTATCCTAGCTGTCTTCAGGCAGTAGGCGCGGTACACCCTGAACTGGTTGCCAGCCATTCACAAACAACCATTCACACCCACAATAACAACCAGAGACCATTTAGGGTGTTCCATTAACATGCCATGCATGTTTTTGGGGTGTGGGAGGAAACCGGAGAAAATGTTGTTTTGTACTTATTAATTTTTAAATACTATTTTGAGCCAGGATTGTTGGCACAAGAGTGCACTATGTGTCCGTAATTTGCCTATGTGTAGTTGCTTGCTATGTCAGTGCAGTACATTAGAATATATGTTTTATTCTTGGAATTGATTGGGAAAAAATCCACTATTGTTTTAAAAGGTTTGTGCGTGTGAAATGTGTGGCCCCTATTTGATCATTATCCCTGAGGCCAATGAGCAGGTACAGGCAGAACAGTGCCTTTTCCCCGACTGGTATGCCGATGACATTGATGCAGCTCAGTCATCTGAAAAATGCGATTCGTATCCCGATGACTCTGAATAGTTGAGGGTCAGGGTAGAATCTTGATTTGTGCGAACGTGAAGATGAGACAGCCATTGCTGAAATTCATCCATGTATTGGGTGGATCCACTCACTGCAAATGAAGACAGAGCATTTTAATTGACAGACATTGGTGACACTGTTTGAACTGATACTGGATGAAAAGTATGAATTGAACAACATGTTTATTCTTGTAGTAAATACTAAAAGAAGACGATTTAAATTGTCATATTATATAACAGCGACAACAAAGGTGCAACAATTCATTGATGAAAAATCTGCGAATCGCTAATCGAATTGAAAGATATATTTAAAATCAATTAAGCCTTTAGAGACTTTGTTTCATTTGAAATTGTCCAAATCCTCAGAATTTCACCTTCTCAACAGAAAGTAACGATATTCTTGCACTGTCAATTTGATACAAGGTTGCATTTTTTTTTCTTTTTTTTTCTTTTTTTTTTTAACTATTTTTAACAAAGGGATGGAAATGAAATGCAAAGTTTTGTTTTGCCAACATGTAACAAGATGGCGACCTGAGGAGAACAAGCACCGAAGCAGATGGATATAGCCTACAGGTTTTACACTGATCGCTCAAATGCTAACCAGCTAACACGTTAAGTTCGCACAAAGAAAACAGAAAAGCAGATCAACAAGAATTTTACATTTTCCCCTGTGGTTGGGTATTATTTTGAAAGGGCATAGCTCAGATGCTAACATCCAATGCCACACGTATACGTACTGCTCGGGACTCCAAAGTCCATGCTGCTCCGAAGTTGACCCATTGACTTCATAATGTTCGCATTCAGGCCTTGGATCTGGTTCTCGATATCTGACAGTACAGATTTCTTCTTGGTTCTGCTCTTGCTACCTGTGGCTTTATGAAGAGCAAATGTAAAAACCAAGGAATATGCAGATGATCGGTAGTGGAGTTCAACCTTAATAGTACTTACGCAGTGCCAATGGAGAGGAAAAAATCTCCTTTATGTCCTGTTGCAGCTTCTCAAGATTTTTCTTGAGGTCTTGACACAGCTCCAGCTCTCGTCTTCTGACAGCCTGCTCAATCTTATGTTCAAGAGCTTTTTTGATTATCCTCCTCTGGAACTTTTCATGGAGCCTCAGGTCGACGTCTTTCATGTTGGGGCGGAACAGGCGGCCCTGATTCTTTGCTGACATGCCCTCTATCTTTTCAAACAGCTCGTAGTGCTGACTAATGTCGGTTTGATCTGTGACATGCAGACAGTGGTAGGTGTTTCCACACTTGTCGACCAACCATCGAAGTGGTCTGTCTTCCCCCTCGATAAACTCCTCCAGGGATCTGTCTCCCAAAGTGTCTTGGTTTGTGAACAGAAGCATTGTGTGGTTCCAGATGCTGTCGCCAAAGAGCTTGATGTGATCCTGCAGGGTGTCCAGACTGACCTGGTCGAATTTGAAATCCAAGGAAATCACAATCAGAACAGCGTCGAACCCCTGAGGGCTCAGGGTCAGACCCCGGACTATTTCTCTGTCCTGTTGCTGGGTGCAGTCGGACTCACTGTACCAGCCCGGGGTATCGACCACTGTGACTTGCACCCCGCCACCCGGCCCCGCCTTAGCCATACAGCCGTCATTCGGTTGGGCGGGGAAGACTTTGCCCCGCAGGAGGAAATTTGCTGCTGTTGTCTTTCCTGACAACTTTTCACCAAGTATCAAAATTCTCAGCTCTTTCAACTTTTTGGGAGGACCTGTGGAGTGAAAAAAAATATTTGTAAGGTTGGAAAATTACAGAACTTGCTGCAGACAGTACCTGCTGGTAAATCGCATTTGATCACAAATTTGACGCCAAAACCCTGGTGTGTGTGTGCCAAATAGCATGAGAAAATGCTTCAAGCGCCTAAAGAGGAAGTCAAGTCAATGCAAACAAAACGGAAAGAAAAAAAAATGGCAATTTGTAATTACAAAGATTACATGATTGATTTTGTGGCAGCCTGAGGCACAACAACTGTCTATCATTCAGAAAAGTGTGACGTTTTCGCAAATCGGCAGCAAGTTTTCTACGCTGCCAAAATGACATTGTTTGCAGTTGCGGCAGGGCACTGTTCATGTTGTTTTGTATGGTTTTGTGCTTTATTACTTTTTAAGTACTATTTTGAGCCAGCATTTTTGGCACAAGAGTGCACTATGTGTCCCTAATTTGCCAATGTGTAGTTGCTTGTTATATCAGTGAAGTACATGAAAATATGTTTTATTCACGCGGGAAGTGATTATTGTTTTATAAAAGGTATCGTGTGTGTGAAATGTGGGACTCCATATTTGATCGTTATCCCTGGGGCCAATAAGCAGGTGGAGGCAGCCCTGGTATACTGACCCCCAAACCTGCAAATGCGCTTGCAATGTGAAAGCATAACAGAACTTTGCCTTTTCCCCAACTGGTACACCGATGACATTGATGCAGCTCAGTCATCTGAAAAATGCGATTCGTATCCCGATGACTCTGAATAGTTGAGGGTCAGGGTAGAATCTTGATTTGTGCGAACGTGAAGATGAGACAGCCATTGCTGAAATTCATCCATGTATTGGGTGGATCCACTCACTGCAAATGAAGACAGAGCATTTTAATTGACAGACATTGGTGACACTGTTTTAACTGATACTGTATGAAAAATATCAATTGAACAACATGTTTATTCTTGTCATAAATACAAAAAGAAGACGATTTAAATTGTCATATTAGATAACAGCGACAACAAAGGTGCAACAATTCATTGATTAAAAAGCTGCGAATCGCGAATCAAATTGATACACATTTTTAGAATAAATTAATCCTTTAGAGACTTTGTTTCACTTGAAATATAGCTCAAATACTAACTAGCTAACACGCTAAATTTTCACAAAGAAAGCAGAAAAGCAGATCAAAAAGGATTTTACATTTTCCCCTGTGGTCACGTACTATTTTGAAAGGGTATAGCCCAGATGCTAACATCCACACAATGCCACACGTATACGTACTGCTCGGGACTCCAAAGTCCATGCTGCTCCGAAGTTGACCCATTGACTTCATAATGTTCGCATTCAGGCCTTGGATCTGGTTCTCGATATCTGACAGTACAGATTTCTTCTTGGTTCTGCTCTTGCTACCTGTGGCTTTATGAAGAGCAAACGTGAAACCAAGGAATATGCAGATGATCAATCATGGAATTCACCCTTAATAGTACTTACTCAGTGTCAATGTAGAAGAAGTCATCTCTTTTATGTCCTGTTCCAGCTTCTCAAGATTGTTCTTGTGGTCCTGAAACAGCTCCAGCTCTCGTCTTCTGACAGCCTGCTCAATCTTATGTAGAAGAGCTTTTTTGATTATCCTCCTCTGGAACTTTTCATGGAGCCTCAGGTCGACGTCTTTCATGTCGGGGCGGAACAGGCGGCCCTGATTCTTTGCTGACATGCCCTCTATCTTTTCAAACAGCTCGTAGTGCTGACTAATGTCGGTTTGATCTGTGACATGCAGACAGTGGTAGGTGTTTCCACACTTGTCGACCAACCATCGAAGTGGTCTGTCTTCCCCCTCGATAAACTCCTCCAGGGATCTGTCTCCCAAAGTGTCTTGGTTTGTGAACAGAAGCATTGTGTGGTTCCAGATGCTGTCGCCAAAGAGCTTGATGTGATCCTGCAGGGTGTCCAGACTGACCTGGTCGAATTTGAAATCCAAGGAAATCACAATCAGAACAGCGTCGAACCCCTGAGGGCTCAGGGTCAGACCCCGGACTATTTCTCTGTCCTGTTGCTGGGTGCAGTCGGACTCACTGTACCAGCCCGGGGTATCGACCACTGTGACTTGCATGCCAGCAACCTGTCCCTGCCAGGCCATGCAGCCGTCATTCGGTTGGGCGGGGAACACTTTGCCCCGCAGGAGGCAATTTCCTGCTGTTGTCTTTCCTGACAACTTTTCACCAAGTATCAAAATTCTCAGCTCTTTCAACTTTTTGGCAGGACCTGTGCAGTGAAAAAAAATATTTGTAAGGTCGGAAGACTACAGAACCTGCTGCAGACAGTACCTGCTGGTAAATCGCATTTGATCACAAATTTGACGCCAAAACCCTGGTGTGTGTGTGCCAAATAGCATGAGAAAATGCTTCAAGCGCCTAAAGAGGAAGTCAAGTCAATG